TAGGATGGTGTCAGTAGTTATTTATTTTTATTAGTATTTTATTTATTTTTTTTACAATTTTATTTATTATTTCTTTACAAATTAATGTTTTATTATTTTTATCATTTTTTTTTCTCAAAATGCTTTTGGGTGGCCAGTGGATGGTGTCAGTAGAGCAATGGTGTGGGTGTTAGAATTTTTTTTTATTTTTATTATATAATTTTTAATTATTTTTTACACTTTATTTCTGTATTTGTTTTTTCACAATGATTTTGTGGGGGCAGTGGACAGTGTCAGTAGGGAGTGAACAGGGAACACTAGTATATGTTGGGCTGTCATTAGATTGGAATGAATAAACAGAACCTGTACTCCCTTGTATTGGAAGGGAGGAAATGGATGGAGGAAGGAAGGGGAGGGAAGGAAGGATGGGTGGGAGGAAAGAATGAATGAAGGGAGGGGATGGAGGAAGGAAGGGAAGGAAGAAAAGGGAGAGAGGGAATGGAAGGAGGAAGGAAGGACTGAAGGAAAGAAATAAAATGGATGGAGGAAGGAATGAAGAAAAAGGAAGGAAGGAAAGGGAGGGAGGAAAGGAAGGAAGGGGAAGGAAGGGAGGGAGGAAGGAAGGAATAAAAAGGGAGAGAGGGACTGGATGAAAAAAGAGGAGGGAAGGAAGAAGGGCTGGGAGAAAAGAAAGGAAAGAATGAAGGGAGGGGATAGAAGAAAGAAGGAAAAGAAGAAAAGGGAGGGAGGGAGGGAGGGCATGGATAGGGAGGAAGGAAGGAATGAAAATGGATGGAGGAACGAATGAAGGAAAAGGAGGGAAGGGAGGAAGTGAGGGAGGGAATGGATGGAGGAAGAAAGGGGAGGGAAGGAAGAAAGAGGAGCAAAGAAGGAAGGAAGGAAGAAAGGGAGGGAATAGATGGAGATGGAGGAAGAAAGGGGAGGGGGGAGGGAGGGAGGAAGAAAGGAAGGAAGGAAAAAGGACAGGGAATGGATGGAGGATGGAAGGAAGGAGAGGGAAGGAAGGGTGGGAGGAAGGAAGGAAGGAAAGGAAGAAAAGGGAGGAAGGGAATGGGTTGGGTTGTACAATGCTCCATCTATTACTGTTTTGGGTGGAGTGACCATCCATAAATGACCATACATAACATCCCCCTATATTGTCACAACACTGTGTTGTCCATGAAATAAGCACCAACTTAGGAGGACAGTTAGAAAGCAGTAGTATGGCTTTAGTGAAGTTTATTGGTTCATCGGTGGTGGTCAACTTGAAAATTTTAGAGATCATCAAGTACAGCCCCTGATACTTCCAGAGGGCCATAATAGAAGGTGTGTTTATTTGTCCGCTCTGGTGTTGAAAGTCCATTTAAATAAATGGAATGCTTTCATGCAACACATGTGTTGACACAACACACTAGAGATCATAGGTGTGAAGGGGAGCTTAAAGTGTCATTAAACCAACATCATTAACCACTTTCCGACCACCTTATAGCAGAACTACTGCTACAGAACAGCAGGGCTGTGTAAAAAAAAGATTTTGCATATCCGGGTAGGGGGCACGTGCACACAGCACAAGCACCCTACCTGCGCCACCGTTTTTGGCTCCAGCTGTGATCACCGAGTCCAGGCCGGTGATCCCCTGCTGGCACCTGGCTATCGCCGAATATCACTGACGGGGAAGGGGGGGGGTCTGTATGTAAACAATACAGATCTCTCCCCTGTCAACTCCCCTGTTAGTGATACTAAACAGTGCATGTTTAGGATCACTTTAAGTGATTACAAAGTTACCACCAAATAAACAGGCCTATAGTGGAAATGTAAAAATTGCTCTGGTTTATAAGGAGTATACAAGCTTGTGAGGTGAAGAAGTGGATAACCACTTGCCTACCGGGCACTTTCACCCCCTTCCTGCCCAGGCCAATTTTCAGCTTTTAGCACTGTCGCACTTTGAATGACAATTGTGCAGTCATGCAACACTGTACCCAAACCAAATTTTTAGCTTTTTTTTTTTAGACAGATAGAGGTTCTTTTTGTAGTATTTAATCACCACTGAGTTTTTTTTTTTTTTTTGCTAAACAAACTAAAAAAGACAATTAAGAAAGAAAAGTTTTTCTTAGTTTCGGTTATAAAATTTTGTAAATGAGTATTTTTTTCTCCTTCACTGATGTTTGCTGATGAGGCTGCACTGACAGGCGGCATTGATAGACAGCACTGATAGGCAGCACTTATGGGTACTGACAGGCAACACTAATGGATACTGAAAGGAGGCACTGATAGGTGACACTGATGGGTACTGATAGACTGCACTAACGAGGAGGCACTGATAGGTGGCAATGACAGGCATCGCTGATGGGCATTGAAAGGCAGCACTGATGGGCACTGATATATGGCACTGATGGGTGGCACTGACTTGCACTGATAGGTGGTACTGACAGACTGCACTGATGAGGAGGTACTGATAGGTGGCAATGACAGGCATCACTGATGGGCACTGAAAGGCAGTACTGATCTGTGGCACTGATGGGCGGCACTGACTGGCACTGATGGGCAGCAGTGATGGGTACTGATAGGCTGCACTGAAAAGGAAGCACTGATAGGCAGCACTGATATGTGGCACTGATGGGCGGCACTGACTGGCACTGATAGGTGGTACTGATAGACTGCACTGATGAGGAGGTATTGATAGGTGGCAATGACAGGCATCACTGATGGGCACTGAAAGGCAGCACTGATATGTGGCACTGATGGGCGGCACTGACTGGCACTGATGGGCAGCAGTGATGGGTACTGATAGACTGCACTGAAAAGGAAGCACTGACAGGCAGCACTGATGGGCACTGAAAGGCAGCACTGATAGGGTTGCACTGATAATAAGGGCACTGATGATCAGTGTCCTGATTATGAGTGTCCCCTCTGAGGAATACACGGCTGATCACAAGGTAGAGCGATCGATGATATGCTGTGTCCTAGGGACACAGCGCACAACTTATCGCTGCGCTACGAACCCCCAGGGGACGTGAAGCTAGAGTTGGAGGATGTCATATAACGTCTTTCCAGAAAAAGAGTGCTCCCGCCCATCAGTAATTTCCTTACACAGGAGGCGGGAGGTGGTTAAAGTGAATCTCAACAAAAAAACTATATTTAATCCTTATGTTTCTTGCATTAGTAATACACTATATTGCCAAAAGTATTGGGACACCCCTCCAAATTATTGGATTCAAGTGTTCCAATCTCCTCCGTGGCCACAGGTGTATAAATTCAAGCACCTAGGCATGCAGACTCCTTTTTGAAAGAATGGGCTTCTCTCAGGAGCTCCATGAATTCAAGCATGGTACAGTGATAGGTTGCCACCTGTGCAATAAGTCCAATCGTGAAATTTCCTTGCTACTAAATATTGGTCAACTGTTAGTGATATTGTAACAAAGTGGAAGCAACTGGAAACAACAATTCAGCCATGAAGTGGTAGGCCATGTAAAATGATAGAGCGGGGTCAGCGCATGCTGAAGCACACAGTGCGCAGAAGTCGCCCCTGTCTGCAGAGTCAACAGTTAAAGACCTACAAACTTCATATGTCCTTCAGACAGCAACAACAGTGCATTGAGAGCTTCATGACATGGGTTTCCATGGCCGAGCAGCTGTATCCAAGCCTTACATTACCAAGTGCGATGCAAAGCATCGGATGCAGTGGCGTAAAGCACGCCGCCACTGGACTCTAGAGCAGGGGAGAAGTGTTCTCTGGAGTGACCAATCACGCTTCTCTGTCTGACAATCCGATGGACGTGTCTGGGTTTAGAAGATTACCCTTAAAAGAAAAGAACTGAAAGATTTATTGGCACAGGAAATGAGGAAAGTCAGTCTTTAACAGCGTTTTCAAAGGAAAGATACCAGGCGGGGAATAAACCAGAAAAATATTTGATGAAAAAAGATTGAAGGATTAAGAAATCAAAAAATTATATAGAAAAAAAATCAAAGTATTGCTAATATGTTCCAAAAGTTTTATGGTAAGCTTTATGAGGTGAAATTCTAAAAATCAGAAAGTAATGGAGGACAAGAAAAGTGAAGGAAAAGACAAGGATTACTAAAGGTGGCACACTTACCAGGAATATCAAAAGATAAATTAGTACGCCCTAGAACAAGTAATCTCCCAGGATGAAAAATAGAGCGGCCTGTCGAAGAGTACGGTTGGAGGAAAGAGCCCAGGTCACGATGGTTATACGGTGGCTACTACTATAAAAAAATTTAAAGAGTGCATTGGTCCCCTAAACTCCTGTAGATTACTGTATATAATGCATTAGATGAGGGGATGGAAATGAGAGAAGAATCACTACATGCGTGGTATAACAGTTATCCTTAAAGAAGGGAAGGATAGTTCACAATGCGCCAGTTATAGACCCATATCATTATTAACCACTTCCAGACCGGACACTTTTACCCCCTTCCTTACCAAGGGCAATTTTCAGCTTTCAGCGCTATCACACTTTGAATGACTATTGCGCGGGTCATGCAAACACTGTACCCAAATGAATTTTTTACCATTTTTTTTGAGAGACAGATAAAGCTTTATTTTGGTGGGGATTTATTTCACCGCTGGGATTTTTTAATTTTTTTTTGCTATGTAAATGAAAAAGTCCAAAAATTTTTGAAAAAAAGTGTTTTTTTATAAAATTTTGCAAATAAATAATATTTCATCATAAATCTTGGCCAACATTTATTCTGTTATCTTTTTAGTAAAAAAAAAAATCCAAAATTAGTTTATATTTTTTAAACATCTTTTTTTTACATTTTTTATTTTATTTTTTTATATTACTATTTTTTATTTTTTTTTTATTTTTTACATACTGTCACCCTAGCAGTACAGTGTCACTGTACTACTTGTGGGGGGTGAATGAAGATTTTTTTTTTTTTTTTTTTTACACTGATTGCTTTTACATCCTATATGGGTGTAAAAAGCAATCATTTCTCTTTCTCTCTGTCCTGCATTCTTGCACTCATTGAGAAGTACTGTGTGAGCTGTGATTGGTCACAGCTTGTCACATGGTACAAGGCTGTGTGAATAGCCTTTGTACCATGTGACCTCTGTGATCATTCACAGATTTCACACGTAGAAAGCAATGATGTCACAAGTGACATCTTGCTTACTACTTTGCATGTGATCACTGATTGGCCAATCAGTGATCACATGATCGGGACCTCGTACAGAGGTCCCGTCCGGCGATCGGTGTTTCACTGTGTCCGGAGGACACAGCGGGCACCGGATCGCGGTGCTGCGCACTCCCAGGAGCGCACACAAGCAGGGTGCGGGGAGGCTGTTTATAAACGGCCACCCGACCCTGCAGTGCCACCGTCCGGCCGTTTATATGCAACGGCCAGTAGGGAAGTGGTTAAATGTTGACACAAAATAATCTGCAAAAGTGCTAGCCACCAGGATGAAAGAGCTGATGCCAGAGTGGATACATCTAGATCAAGTGGGATTTATTCCAGGGAGGGAAGGAAGAGACAATGGTCTAAGAACATTGCTCCTCCTACAAAAAGCAAAAACAGGAAAGCAGCCAACAATTATACTGTCGATTGATACAGAAAAAAAGCCTTTGATAGGGTAGATTGAGGATTTATGATAAACATGCTAAAGATATTAGGAATAGGGACCAAAATCGTAAGGTGGATAACAGGGCTTTATAACAGCCCTTCTGTGGCAGTCAAGGTGAATGGGTCCCTGTCAGGGACCTTTAAAAATGTATAATGGTACTAGGCAGGGGTGTCCAATTCATTCTCCCAATTGCCATCTGTCCTATCCCTGGAACCACTTTTGGCATTGGTAAGAAAGAACACAGATATTAAAAGAATTAAGAGAGGAAAAGTAGAACATAAAATGGCAGCGTATGCAGATGATATGCTGTGTTTTGTTATTTGTTTTGTTCTACATTGTCAATCCTAGATTGACATTGCTTAATTTAATGGGATTATTAAAACAATACGGGGAGCAGTCAAATTTGAAAATAAACCTTTCAAATATTTAACGTTTCAAAGGTAGAGATGCAGATTTTGCAAAAAAAGACTTTTCCATTTACATGAAGGGAGAGGGAATTAAGCTACCTGGAAATAAAGTTAATCCCCTCAATAAAGAACTTATATCAAGTTAATTATATACTATTAATAAATGAAATTAAAGATGAGTTGAGAAGACTCTCAATAGAGCGGGTCTCATGGATTGCACATATCAATCTGGTTAAGATGGTGATAGCCCCAAAAATCTTGTATAAGTTTCACATGCTCCCACTATATTTACCAGGATCTTTTTTTTAGGATAATAAGAAAATTGATACTGAGGTTTTACATTGGCTAATAAGAAACCAATAATTAAGTATGAGGTTTTATGTAACAATAAAGAGAAAGGAGGATTAAATTTGCCATATATGAGGAAGTATTATATGTCGGTGTTATTATCACGGGTGGTAGATTGGACACATAACTCATACGAAAAAAGTTGGGTTAAAATGGAAGATATATTAAGTAACACACAATTAGAGAGGATTATCTGGATCCCACAAAAGTTTCGAGAACTAGATGAAAATAGTAGTACATTGACACAGGAGGTGTTGAGAATATGGGATGGGCTGCATAAGTCAATGGGCTGGAAACACAATTCACTGTTGAAACCCCTGGTGGATATGGACTTTTTTCCACCAGGAAATTATATTTCTGGGAAATGGTTTAAAAATAGAAATGTACGATTAAGGATATTAGTAGATAAGGGGAAGTTATGTACTTTTCAAGAGTTTAAAGAGTAAAAAAGATTTATGTTATACATTAGATGCATTTAGATAATATCAATTAAGACAGTTTGTCTCAACACTCCCCCAACAAACTGAGGATGCCATAGGATATTTATTTATTCCAGGTACTTATATAGTGCCGTCAATTTACACAGCACTTTACATATATATTGCACATTCACATCAGTCCCTAACCCTCAAGAGGTGTACAATCTAAGGTCCCTAACTCACATTCATACATACACATATTAGGGCCAATTTAGACAGGATCCAATTAACCTACCAGCATGTGTTTGGAGTGGATATGCTTCCATTTGAAAAAATGTTGAGTTCCGGGATAGTACATAAACATGTAACCTCTAGGATATCCTTATTGAATTGATGGGATCTGAACCTCCGCTATTCTTAGAGAAATGGGAAAGAGAACTGGGGTACAAAAAGAATAAATTGTTTAAGTTGATGCACGGGGTGGTGAATATGAACACAGTAGAAATTAACTATAAATGTTTAACTAGATGGTATTTTACAGAGTGTGGCACATAAACAAAGAGAATAAATTTTGCCACTATGTTTGGAGGGGATGTGGGGGAAGGGGGACAATGGCTCACATATGGTGGGAGTGTTCAAAAATACAGGGGTATTGGCAAGACATAATTCAATATATACAGGAGATTTTGGGGATAACTATTCAAAAAGACCCGTGGGTGTGCCAATTTTGTAGGATAGAGGTGTCAGTGGAACAATATAAAAATAGTATATGATTACCATCTAATCAGTGTGCTGCAAAAGGTTTAATCCCCAAATTTTGGCAGGCATGGGACCCTCCAACAATGACGGACTGGATAGACAGGATCGAGTATGTAAATAAGATGGAGGAGTTATACCATATAGATGAAGATGGAATGGAAAAATTTTAGAGAGGACGGGAGTAGGTGGTATGATTTTAAGACATCTGAAAAATATCTTGAAGCGATGGGTGCCCGGTAGGTAGTAGAGCTGGAGAACTAAATTGAATAAATGGCCCAGCCGCAAAGTGAAGAGAGAATATAGGGCTTAGACTGTGATTGGTAAACAGGATAGGAAAGAATTATTTGGACAGGGGTAATTTATTGGGGAGGGAAGGATAAGGGGGATGGAATGAGGGGTAAAGAGGTTATTTGGATTGTTTGTGTTTTGATAAATTGTATATGTTGATCTATGTATTGAAATAAAATTTAATAAATATATATTAATAATAAAAAAATAAATAAAGCTGGGTATACACTGCTGGAAATTTGAAAGGAAATGTGTATGTGGTTCGAAAGTAGTTAAGATCTCTTTACTTTCAACATCAGATTTAGGAATGACATCTGATTTTACCAAACAAGTTTCCACCCAGCTCCTTTGATTTTCTCGTCACCACTGCGATCAGAAACTAACATCAATCTGACCCACTAATGATTAGAAAAAAGAGCAAATGTTCTTACAAGTAAACACTAAATTCTACTAGTGTAACCCAGCTTGAGAGAATTAGTGCACCTTTGTTAGTGGGTGTAGTATACAATGGCATGCACCCAGAAAAAGACAGTGACTGCTATTTATTATTCCCTATTTCCCTTCCTGCATCCTATTTGTGAAAAACTGCAACCAATGGTTTCAGCATTATATTTGTTGTTTTTGTTTTGTGTTTTTTAAAGCTTTGGTTTGCTACACTACAAAGTGAAAACAGATGTTTAAAGCTAAACTCCAAGCTGCTATAAAAGACACAAATTAAAGTGGTTGTAAACCATTACATATAGCCAGTGAAGTGACTGGCCTCAGGTGATACACGGAGATTAACAAATCCTTCTACATAAGTTGTACCTGTTTATCTGCAGTATTATCTTCTCTATATCCATTCAAAAGTGCCGAATTTATAAGCTTGTCAGAGCTGTCAAAAAAAGGGGTGGAGAGCTGAAGTTAAACTCTGCAGAACTCTGCTGAAAGCTGATTGGTGAGAACAGACCCCCCCCCCCCCCTTTCACACAGCTCACAGAGCTTGAGACTGTCAATATGTTGGAGGTTCCTTCTCCATCACTAATTTTCTCTTGGTGTCAGGAAAATTTGTAATTCATGTAGATAGCAGAGGAACAAAGCAGCAGATAGGAATGGCATTTAGAGGGTTATTTACTAAAACTGGAGCATACAAAATCTGGGTGCAGTTCTGTATAGTAACCAATCAGCTTGCAGGTTTTATTGCCAAAGCTTAATTGAAGCAGCTGAAGTTAAAAGCTACCATGCACAGCTGCACCAGATTCAGAGTACACCAGTTTTAGTAAATCTCCCCATTAGTGCTCAAGATGACCCTTACAGTCTGTTGCTTTTCTTTCACTTTCCAGTCACAGGTTGGGCGAGGGATAAGACCTGTAAGTGTTGTTAAAGTGGAGTTCCAGCCGTTTTTGTGTTTATTAAAAGTCACAAGCTACAAAAATTGTAGCTGCTGACCTTTAATAAACACGCATTTACCTGTCCTGGAGTCCAGCGATGTTCTCACCAGCGCGGTCCCTTCTCTCCTTCTTTCCACCACGGCGCTGGCACCAGGCTGTGACAGCTTGTGGCTTCACAGCCTATTGCCCACTGCGCATGCGCGAGTCGTACTGTGCTTCCTAATTGGCCTGGCAGTCTCCTGGGACTATGAAAGTTCCCAGGAGACTGTGGGAGGGAGGAAGGGGCAGAACTTCCGTCTCACTTCGCAGCGGAGAACTGAGCCGGAAGTGGGAGCGGGTAACCGTCAAAAGCAGGTACCCACTCCCCCCCAAAAGGTGCCAAATATGGCAGTAGAAAGGGGGGGAGGCAAATAAGCGGAGCTTCCACTTTTGAGTGGAACTCTACTTTAAAGTAGTATAAAGAAACAAAGGGGTTGATTTACTAAAGGCAAATAGGTTGTGCACCGAAAGTGCAGTTGCTCTAGATCTGAGGGGAACATGCAAGAACAATAATAAACAGCATTTTTGTTTACACAAGATTGGATGAAAGAAATCAGCAGAGCTTCATCTCATTTCAGAGTTTCCCCTCAGATCTAAAGCAACTGCACTTGCAGTGCACAGTATATTTACCTTTAGTAAATCAACCTCAATATATATATGTGGATTGGGATTTTACAGGCATCCAGATTATTAATTCCGAAATGTATCAAAATATGAGAATACTATACCCAAGCTGTTGCTATGATCACCTTTACTATTTGCCTATGCCATTTTTAACTGATGTGTTATAATATGTGATAATAAAAATTTTATTTTTTTTTTAGAATTAACAGTCTGGATTCCTGTAAAATCCCAGTCCACATATGTGGGGTTTTTTTATACATTGATTTGAAGGAATTATGGCATTCCCATGGGTGTGAAAACACTCAACTTTTGTTATTTATTACTTATAGTAGTAATAAACGCTGATTTTGTCATTAGTACAGCCTTATAAACAATATATACAATGTATTTATATTGGGGCCCAACCCCTCACAGTTGATATGTAATCCAATGCCTGTGTTCTACTCTCAGTGCTGCTGAACTGAACTTCTTGTTGGCAAAAATGACACACTGGCCATGCTACATGGGGACGGTCACAAAGGAACTAGATAGTCTTAAGCTGCTGTCAATCAGTTAGCTTGGAGGACGGAGGAGGGCCGTGGACTGCCATGCCTAGGCTTCAGAGTTTTTTTTCTTTTTTTTTTTAAGGACCTCCTCAGTGCAGTGCTTGTTGAATCCCTGTGAACAAAAAAGCGAACTGCAGACGAAAAATGTGCACAAGGATACAGTAATGGAGCAACCTCCAAAAAGTAAGGGCCTCAACCCCTGAACATCTCAGGGCGTAAGGCTCCTGACAGGGGCAAGGCAATCTGGTCCACCTAGGGCCCGAAGCCACGTTAACACTGCTCCTTAGGGACCTGCTGAAGCCAGTCCTCCAAGAACTTGGCAATGGACCCCCCCACCCCCATCATTGGGAAGGTGAAAATACCTGAATGACACAGATCCTCTCCCTGACAGAAGGTGAAAATACCTGAATGACACAGATCCTCTCCCTGACATCGGGGCAGGCTGCCATGAAAAACCTGCACCCTCTTTCTCTGTGAGTAAAAAACAAGCCTCCCATGCAGTGTTAGTGCTCATGATAAATACATGCATAAAATAAAGAAAACATGCCAAGTGCATTGCTCAAGGCAGGCTTTCGGACCCTAAGCTTTGGGGCTGTTTTATGTACACAGCGCAGGGACAGTCATCTGGGAGCATACATGCAAAGGTGGTTACAAAGGACCCTGCAGCGCTCCCAGATGTCAAATAGAGGGAGAATATTAGATATGATTGGGCTGTACAACCTTGTATGCCTGGGTAATGCAGTAGCTGAAGGTGTTGCAGTGGAGGAGAAACTCAAACCACAGAAGTATAGAAAGGAGAGCAAAACCAAAAACATGAAGGGGTCCCCGATGCTTTTAATTGTTCATAATTTTACTATATAAAACATTCAACATATTTTGGCTGCCAAACCCCCCCCCCCCCCCCCCTTCCTTAGGGCATGAAAACGATAACTTGAATGGACTGAGATACAGTTACTGCCACTGAGTACATTAATATTTTTATGAAAAAAGCATAGGTCAGACCCAATATAGATCTGTGTCATCACTGTTTCCTTTGAGTCCATTCAAGTTGTAATTTCGATTTTAGCCCTGATGAAGAGAGAGTGTTTTGGCGCCCGAAACATGTTGGATGTTTTATATAGAACTTAAAAGCGCCGTCTTTCTCCTCCTTTGGTTTGGAACTCCTTATTATATTCCGCCCACTGAGAAAAGCCTTGCTGTATGTGAGCCGGCTCGCAAGAACCAATGAGCTTGCTTGAAGTTTTCCTTCACTTGACTGTACGAACAATTTTTTTTTTAATTCTAAGTCCTACAGCCTCTTAGCCACTTCAAGACCGGACACTTTCACCCCCTTCCAGTTTAGGCCACTTTTCAGCTTTCAGTGCTATCACACTTTGAATGACAATTGCGCAGTCATACAACACTGAACCCATATTTTTTTTTGCATTTTTTTGAGACAGATAAAAAAAAAACGTAATTTTGGTGGTATTTATATAAATGAAATTTTTTAAAAAGTGTTTTTCTAATAAAATTTTGCAAATAAATAAAAAAAAACAAAATTAGTTTATAACCAAAAATTATAATTTTTCAAACATTTTTATTTTACATTTTTATTTCTTTTTCATATTATTATTTATAAATACCAAAAATCGGTGTACCCACAAAATTGTTATCCAAATCAAACAAAATTAAATAAGATAAATCCCCTAGACCAGGGCTTAAAATTTCAAGTCCTGAGCTACTAGCCAGGCCTTAGGAGTTACTCGCCACCAACAAACACACACACACACAGAGAGACACTTGTACATACACACAGAAACATGTACACACACGCACAGAGACACATGTACACACACAGGCACGTACAGACACGCATACACACAGATAAATGTACATACACAGAAATACACACACACAGGCACATGTACATACATACACAGACACATGTACATACATACACAGACACATGTACATATATAAACACACAAGCACACACATGTAAATGTGCACACACACAGACACACATGTACATGCGCACACACACACAGACATATGTACACACACATATATGTACATACACGCAGACACATGTACAGATACACACATGTACAGACACACACACACACACAGCCCTATAAAAAGTTGCAGTACTGCATTGTTCACTCACAGAGCCGGGTACTGCACTCTAGGGGGAGGCAGAGAGCACAGCACACACTCCTTCCTTTGCTTTCACTGCGCTCAGCTATTGAGCAGTCTGACGGCTCCCAGTGCGAGTGACAGATCCGGCCCCGAGTTCCGAGCCTGCTCAGCAAGACAGCCCTGGGGGACACACTCGCCCCCACCATAATTTCCACTCGCCATTTGCGTGCAGGTGAGTGGAAATTTCAAGGCCTGCCCTAGATGCACAAAAAGTCACACTTTTCCCCCAGAAAGTCCCAAAGTCAAAAAAACCTCCTCAGAGTCTGTTAATCTTCAAAATATCATATATAAACTTGATCCATCTCCAAAATCAATCTTTTTTTGTCCATGTGTACCTCAAAAAAGAACAAATGACTATATATAGTGCATTATCCTCAAAAATATATAGCAAAAAAATCAACTATCAATGTGTACTTGTGTTCAAAATTTATAAACAAAATCACCCACTGAATGTGGCTGAATTAAATACTCTTACCCTAAAAAATACTTTATGTAGCTTTACATCTCATTCCCTATAAGAATCCACTCACAGCTGATCCTACGGACGCATCATCCTTTTACGGGATACCACTGAAGAAAAACGCATCATAGTGTATTATCCTTTGGACATGTGATAAGTGCTCCCCACTTAGTGAAATGAAAAAAAAAAAAAAAACACTCTCCACCACCTTCCAAACCATGCACCTTACCGGACTACCAATATCCAATAGCATAAATAGATGTGAGATGACTCCTCTTAATCCACACTGATCCAATCTGTTGATTTTATCAGAAATTCAAAGCTGTCCCGTGTCCTCTGCTCACTTTAAAATTAAGTTATATGATATTTTGAAGATTCACAGATGCTGAGGAGGTTTTTTTGAGATTATTATTTATGTTTTTCTTTTTTAACCATAAGGTCACCCTAGCAGTAGTGTCACCATAGTGACACTGGACTACTTGTGGGGGGTGATGAAGATTTTTTTCTTTTTTTACACTGATTGCTTTTACACCCATAAAGGCTGTAAAAGCAATCATTTCTCCTTCTCTCTGGCTGAATTCCTGCAACCATTAAGAAATACTGTGCGAGCTGTGATTGGTCACAGCTTGTCACATGGTACAAGGCTGTTGTGCATAGCCTTGTGCCATGTGACCTCTGTGATCATTCACAGATTTCACAAGTAGTAAGCAATGATGTCAGAAGTGACATCTTGTTTACTACTGTTCATGTGATCACTGATTGGCCAATCAGTGATCACATGAATCGGGACCTCACACAGAGGTCCTGTACATCAATCTGTGTTCTGCTGTGTCCTCCGGACACAGCGCCGTGCGCTCCCACCCGCATCGGCAGCACTCCCGTCCGGACGTTTATCGACATGGATCGGACGGGAAGAGGTTAAATATGTTGTTCTGGTGCTGTAGTAGATCTTGCCATTTATCAAAGTACACCTTGTTGCAATGTTAGGATCATGAGTTGTTACCAGTCACTGGCACAGTTGTAATATGTTGTTGTGATGATTGAAAGTGGACCCCGGGAAAGCAGAAATGATGAGTGAACTGCTGACACGTTAACGACTTGCTATGGAATAATACGATCCAGGTGTCTTTGAAGAAACCATTAAAAGGAATCTACATATTAAAGCTTTCAGATACATATGGTAAGCCATGGTTAGCTTAATGTAAATTAACTCATAAACCTGGAACATTGTCCTTAAGACCCCTTACCAGTTAATTTCCAGGCTGTAAAAAGTCACGTACAGAAGGGGATTCCTTAATGATAGGCATTTGTGCATGATATAATTATATCAATCATGGTTATATTGTTCTATTACATTAGTTACCCAATAAAGTACATTACTAGATGGAGTGGGAAGGGTAGTTGTTAATTTAGAAAACATTTTGTAGCCAAGTGCTGGGCTACAGAAACATGGAGAAGGAGAAATGATCCTCTTCACAGTTAGTTTTACTTTACCTTTCTATTGTTATGCATATCCCCTCCAGTCCACAGGGGGAGGGCTATAGACAGGAAAGCATATGGACGTCTATGCAGAACACTGAGGATCATGGGAATTGAAGTCTGGAACATCAATCATAGAATGAAACGTATGGACCCTGACCCTACAGTTCCCAGAAAGCAGACAGGGAGTGGTGGAATAGCTTTTACCGGACTGCTTTAACAGACTGCTTCTTCTTGAAGTATGGGAGCCTGTGTGCCCATATTTCTGCAGACCAGAGTGACGGGGTCCAGAGTTTGAGGCCTAAGAGCGGTGATACAGGGGGCAGCGCTGCACAGACCGTTCTGATCTCATCCATTTTGCTCTTGCTGCAGGGAGACTGGGACTTCTTCCCACACTCCCCTCCTGCAATTCTAATCACCTGAGCCATCTGCACAGAGGCAAGGTACCCCTTTCTACAGTGGGAGTGTAGGGCCAAACCAGAGGGACTGGTGAGAGGACACACTGCCTACCATTCAGATATTGATAGCATAGATTGAGTTACTGGAAGCAGGATAGTTATGACATAGCACCAACACTGCATGGTAATTGTATCAGGACTGTTGATAAGTGCACCAACGCTGTTTATTTGTCACAACTATAGCTGGCAGAAGAACACAATATAGGATTGCCAATGCAAAACCATTCTACTTGCCCTTATCTATTATTCATTTAAAGAGTACCTCCACCTAGTTAGCCTAGCATAGTCACCTTTAACCTCCCTGGCGGTATGATTATTTCAGATTTTTGGTGCTGAAAGCGGTACCATTATTTTGCATGGAAATATTTAGTTTTTTTATTGTAGGCTGTAATATTTAGGAATAACTCACTGAAATCTGTCTGAACAAGAGTCTATTAAACATCCCGGGTATGATAAAATTTGAAACACAAAATCATAAATTATAATTTAATAAATAATCATAAAAAATAATAATATAATAATAATACATTTAATTCAATAATATAATCAAACCGAAAACACTGAAATTTGAAATATAGCGCCAAGTTCGCACATCACTGAGCAAAGTCGCAAAATTGTTTTCAGTGTCTGATGACGAATTTCTCCACGAATTATTATCACTCAATTCTGCAAGTGGTTCTGATTTACTATCGCTGTTCTCTAGCCGGTCTAAAACCGCTTTTGACCTAAAGGGACGATTTTTGGATGCCATGGACTTTTCTAAGTTTCCAGACAGAAAGAACATTCAAAATGCAGACGGGACAGGACAAAGCACTCGGGACAAAATGTATGTGAAATGGTTTGAAACAGCAATGTTTTACTATGTAAAATTCGTTTTGAAAAAAATGACATTTTTTTAAAATGTTCAAATTTTCCGCCGGCGCCCGTACGTCCCGACGTCACAGGGACCGGAACACAGAAGCCGGATGCCGGCATCAGCCGGAGGAGATGGCCGGGGACACTGCAGGGGACACATCGCAGGAGCAAAGGACAAGGCAAGCCCTGCATGGACTCCCTATGCAGCGCCGCATGGTAAGCCCGAGTGTAGCTCGGGGTTACCGCTTTTGGTACAGAAACTTTACCCCGAGCTACACTCGGGAATACCGCCAAGGAGGTTAATGCACTTTGACAGTATAATCTCAAGAATGCAGTTATTTCTACCATGTTACTGTCCCTTTCTACACTCAAGGTGATCTTGCAATTGTTTATGTGATCCCGATGCATAGCGTTCTCCTACTCCTACTGATCACATTGTATGTTGAGGTGCACTACAACTATTGCTAATCCCCTTTCATGCCTTTATCATTACCACACTCATACTGTGTGACAATATATGGAGACTTGCCTTTACTAAGTCTTTTAGTGCCTGTTTTTTAAACAAAGCAAAATTATTGTGTATCTGGTATTACCTTCAGTGATTTCTGTGATATTGCACGGTTTGTTCACTTCTGGTTGGAATCATTCAGGAGGTCGAGGTAAAGAACCCATTCTATCCAGCGGCTCCTGAGGATGTAGCACTACAGGGATAAAGCTTTTATCAGTTGTTGGTTTTTCTCTGTTGCTTTCTCTGAAAAATGAGGAAAAGAAAAATCAGTATATATACACCAATGTAGATAGGAGGGTTTATGAAGATTTTATTTAAATGTTATTACAGTTACAGCAATTGCAATCATAGCCTAAACAAACATGACCAGAAGGCACACCTACATCAAGAATGGAGATAGGTTTTCAAGACCCCATGAAGAGTGTTGCTGCATTGGTAGGACAGTATTTGTCGGGGATCGCCGCAGCGCTGGGCTTGGCGCAGGCGCAGCAGTGCACCGCCCTGTGCAGGGACGCGGGCACTGGGACCTGGCCGACTGCGGCAATCAAGTTTGCGCATGCGCGGTAGAGACCGCTGGCGCGCGCTTGGCACCAGTGACAGCGCAGGGCGGGATATTTAAATGGCCCTGACCTGTCATTCAGTGCCTTCTGGTCTTCTTGTATCCTGTATCCTGTGAACCTGTGAATAAGTGAGTTGCTGACCCCGGATTGTGCCCTGACCTTGCTATTTTCTCCTGTCCTGACCCTTGCTTGCCTGACCTCTCTCCTAGATGCCCCCTATTGGACCTGACCTGCTGTTGTTGACCTGGCGTGTGACCCGACTACTCTTTGCCCGCTGCTTTGTACCGCACCGTCCCCATAGTTACCGACCCGGCCTGCCTGACCTTGCACTCGCTCAGCCATCCATCCATCCAACCCATCGGGATCTCCCAGCCTTCTCACATTAGGCTCTTCCTCTGCGGGAGCCCCTGGTGGATACCCCTACCAGTGGTGAGTGTGCCCAGTAACTGCGACCTGGTCTCAGAGCGCTACAAGTCCATCCCCACCATCAGGGGCCCTGGTGAACAAGTGCTCTGGGACTTAGATTCCGCACGCTGGAAGCACCTCACCGGTGGGTTACTAGAGGTACCGCTGGGTGGTCCCTTACAGTATTATTCGATAAAAGATTAAGCATTATGTACATGAAGAATGTTCATATGTTTTGGATATGCCCATCAGCACATGTCTTTTGCCCACAGGTGTTAAGATTCCTGAACAATAACATGAACCTGTCTCAGCCCTGACCCCCAAAACAAGGATTTTTGAAGTTATTCATACAATACAGTCAAAAAAAATATTTCCTTCTTGTTAATTATTAGCCTTTATCAAGCTCGGACAAGTCTGAATGTCTGCCGAAGCCACAGTTTTACCTGCTGAAATTATAATTAAATCCCTTAGTAATATAGGTAGTCATATTGAGAAAATGACTAAAATTTAGGATAGCTGGCTCACAATAATACTACTTCTACTAAGCTGTACAGTAGTTAATAAGCAACTCCTTTCTCTTTTCTTTCAGCCAATCACTGATAGGTTTGTACCAGCTTCCAGAAGTGTCTGGAGGAGGTGGTTAAAGTTGGGTTCTCGAGTAAGATAGTTGTTCATCTGGGCTAAAAGGTCCTCAACTGGCCTGTGAAAGGGATCTGAAGAGTACTACCCTGGTCTGTGGTACAAGCCTAAGATACTTAAATGTAGCCACCCTGGGCCTATAGAGTTCACATTAGCCTTATATTAGAGAGTGGGAGAGGGATTTGATTTCCTTTGCAGCTCTGAGAGACTGGTCACATGACATCTCCGAAATTGGTACTGGAGGACTTCTCTTTACAGGCACTGTGATCACAGGTCTGAAAGAGCAGTAGGTAGCAATATAATGCCCACCTTGTGTCACTAACGATGGGTCAGACTCTGGTGAAATGTCCCCATAAAGACCACTAGCCCAACATAGCTAATTAGTACTGGCCCAAGTGGCAAATGTTCCCCTTGCCCTCCATCTCAGTCCTTCCTAGCCACTGGCCTCTGGGCCCAAAGCTGAAGAACTGGGCTCAGACATGTACATAAATCTTAACCACGTCCAGTCCGGACACTTTTACCCCCTTCCTGTCCAGGCCAATTTTCAGCTTTCAGTGCTATCACACTTTGAATGACAATTGTGCGGTCATGCAACACTGTACCCATATGAATTGTTTAGTATTTTTTTGAGACAGATAAAGCTTTATTTTGGTGGTATTTATTCACCACTGGGATTTTTATTTTTTTTTGCTATGTAAATGAAAAAGTCCAAAAATTTTGAAAAAAAGTGTTTTTCGTATAAACTTTTGCAAATAAATAGTATTTCATCATAAATCTTGGCCTAAATTT